CAGTCAATAAATATTAGCAATAAGCAGAAGGATTTTCTAAAGAATATCTCTCCTGAATCCATATTATAATTCAACAAATATTCTCTGACAAAACAGTTGTGATTTTATGGATTTTAAAAAAAAATATCCCCCTATTTCTAGAAAAAATATTAATTCTTAATTTTGTTTATTACAAAGATACACAAACACATACACTCACACACAGACACACACACACACGCGCTGAAAGGTTCGGGTAACTTAAAGAGCAAAATGGCGTCTTCAAGGATTTTTTTTAAATTATAGAAATTAATGTTATTTTGTTTGCCCTTGGATAAATTTCAAGAAATATGTCAAATGTCCGGTGAAACATGGGAAAACTGGTGGATGATCCATGTGTTCAAATTTCGTGGATTTTGGATATGATCACACACACACATACAAACAGATAATACCAAATACACACACATACAAACACATAATACCACACAAACACACATGCAAACACATAATACCACAGACACACACATACAAACACATAATACTACACACACACACACACACACACACACATACAAACATACATATGAAATGTTTTCCAGGGTGGAAGCGAATATTGATAGAAAATAAGGTTATTTCTTGGTGGTGTGATTATGAGAGAAGTTGTAAATGTTCGGAGAGACATGGGAAAGGCTTGGTAACTTCAATTGATCAATTTCTTCAAATTTCCTCGAATTCTTGGTGATTCTTCGTTCATATATATATATATATATATATATATATATATATATATATATATATATATATATATATATACATATATATATATATATATATGTGGTGGTTGTGTTTGTGATGAAAAATACAGCTCTTCGCTCTGCTATATTTATGAGTAAAAGTGCTCAATATCAGGGATAGAGGATGTGTAAATATATATATATATATATATATATATATATATATATATATATATATATATATATATATATAATAGTATCATCTACATGCAAAAAAGGGAAAAATAATGATAGCCTTATTAATAAAAAACAAAAAGACAACACTTAATAATATTAACTATGAACATGGACACAATAACTTGACCGTGTTTTGAAAAATGAAAACATTTTATAAAACATGCATGCAAAAAAATCTATTTCTTATTTAACAGTTAAAATATTTAATCCTTGAAAATGGCTAAATGTATAGCCGAAAGCGCTCGGATAAAAAGAACATTCGCACAGTTTATATATAATTTATCATCTGAAAAGAAAAAAATTATTAGATTGCATGAGAAATTGTATAAGAAACTAAATAAAAGCACCATGAAATGTGCATGAAAGAAGGATTACTGCCTAAATACATAAATTTTAATATATATATATATATATATATATATACTTTACAATTGGAATTAAGATATCTTTAGTAAATGAGCATTTTCACCTACGAATTTTAATTTTAAAATACGCAGGATTTTTCAAACTGTTTATAGTACAAACTGATACTATAAACAGTTTGAAAAATACTGCAAATTTTAAAATTAAAATTCGTAGGTGAAAATGCTCATTTACTAAAGGTATCTTAATTCCAATTGTAAAGAAGATTTGCTGTTTTTATGAAAATAAACATTGAGCGCTCTTTTGTGGGTCAGTTTTAACATATTTCAAATTCTATGTTCTGTTAATAGGACTCGCCTGGATTATACCAACCTATATATATATATATATATATATATATATATATATATATATATATATATATATATATATAAAGTACGCTTCAATATACGGCCCCTATGAAGAAAAAGACACCTTATTTAATCCTCATTGCTTCTCTAAAAAGTTATAGGTCCTAAAAAGTGCCTTAGATTTATCAGCTACTATTAAAAACTTCAAAATGTTCAATAAAATTCTTAGAATAATTCATCATCGCAAAAATGTAACCTATGTACAAATAACGAAGTTTTTGAATTCTTATGTCCTTCGGCAGATTGTATCGCCGACACTAACAATCAATAAACAGCATTAAATTCTTACGTTGGCCTCTCATGCACGACACTCTCTCGTAGGTTAACTTGTCATTTGTCAACATTTAGTGCAGTTCGAGCACATATAGATGAACATGTGACAAATAAACAAAATAATATTAACGTTAGACAGATTTTACGAGATAACAAAAAATCTTTTACTAAACACTTTGCAAAGAAAGACTCCAAATTCTCGAGGCTGTTGCATTAAAAGACAAGCAGCCAACATTAAATAATGTGTCATTCAATATAGGGGATCATACACAAACACACATAGATATTTATTTAAAATTATAAAAATTATAATATATATATATATATATATATATATATATATATATATATATATATATAAAATCACTACAAAATAGAATCTACATTCAACATCATCACTTGATAAGACACCAGAAGTGTTGAAACAAAATGGCTATTTTTGTATTGTATTTTATAACATATTTCTGTTATAATTTTTAAATAAATAATTATATTCGCTCTACTCTGTATTGAGCACTCTTTTAAGAATAGTAATTGTTGGTTATCGGAATTTATTCCGTATACGCCGATCATATACTTGGATATATATATATATATATATATATATATATATATATATATATAAAATATAATATATAAAAAAAATATTTGAAACACCGACCTTTATTATAGCACAGTTTCTACGAGAAGGTTTTCATCAGGCATTAAAACTTACGGCTTTCTGAAATCATTCTGGTAAAAACTGTGGCATGTGTTTTTTTTTTCTTATAAAATCAAAAACTTGAGACGATATACTTGTATGTCGACCAAAAGATGTTTTTTGAATATCTGCTATTATTGACGGTTGTGTAAGATCTCTTTTTGATTTTATAAGGAAAAAAAACACATGCCTGATGATGGATGGAAGACTGTCCGTAAGTACTAGCATTTTAACATCAAATAAACTGAAAAACTACAGACAACAAGTTTTTTCGTCAAGGATCAAAACTCGTACTATGGATGAACAGGATTTTAATGCATATATTATGTTTTCTAGCGATGGATGTCGCCAATATGATTAATTCTATGTGTGATTATTCTTTGTATGTAAATCATATGCTGCCTAATGTTTTATGTTTATATATATATATATATATATATATATATATATATATATATATATATATATAGATATAGATAGATAGATTGATAGATAGATATAGATAGATAATAATTATTTATTCGAAAATTATATATATAAATAAATATAAATTATTATATATAAAAATAAATATGTTATAAAATCACTACAAAATACCCACTTTGTTTCAACACTTCTGGTGTCTTATATATATATATATAAATATGTGTGTGTGTGTGTGTGATAATATTATTAATATATACATGCATTCACGGCAAAATTCCATATATCTATATATTCACTACAACTGAAAAATTATATATATATATATATATATATATATATATATATATATATATATATATTCACTACAAAATTAGTAGCTATCTCATCTATGAAAATTTTATTCTTTTTTATATTATTCCCCAAGTGCAATTTCCGTTCTGAGTAGGTCGATAAACTTAATTCGCTTCCTGGGTAAGACGATAAACTACGTCCAACAGCAAGGTCTCTGATCAGGATGTTTTGAAAAGCGTGGAACCACCTCTTAATTGCTGGTGTTCCCAGAACTACCCTGACCCGGGGTGGTAGCACCTGTTAGGGTCCCAGCTATGGGGAAATAGTTAACACCCAAACTTGTGTATAAATAGGTTTTAATACCAGAAATACTTTGTAGTAAAAAAAAAAATAATTATCAGTAGTACTTTAAAAAAAAAGTACCAGCAGTACAAACGGCTATACATTCTTTGAAAAAATGTTAACAGCTATAGATTTCTTCAAGGAAAAATATTTTGAAGAAAAACAATAAAAATTTTGTCGGCATTAAATAACCCATTGAGGTTGATATACCGTAAAACAAAGCAACCTAAATCAAAATCCAAGTGCAGTTTAACAGAACATGGAATTTTAACATACCATTTCTAAATATGCTAGTTTTATTTTATTTTATTTAGGGATTTAGTATTATCTAACTTTACACACCAGAACAAAAATAATTCACAAAACCCCCAAAATATAGAAGTGACAACTTTCTAGCGACCCCTACTTATGTTAATAGTTAAATCTGTCTTTGCAAATGTTTGGCCTTCTATACAAGATTTCTACACGTCTCCTGAGGAATCCCAAAGCCATTTTTTTTGACAAATCTTTCAAACTTTCCCAGATTTCATATTTATGAAATGAACCCTGATCTTCAGTTGACCACTCAGATGCACTTTGGAATTGAATTCGGGGCTTTGTTCATAAGATTAATAACATAATTACGTTCACCTTCTGGTGGTTGTTCGTTACCAGAAAGGCTTATGGCCATGTCACGTTGAATTACCGGTTGTCGTACGACCATCGACGTTCAGCAACGTCGATCCTGGTCCATACCTAGATGGGTGACCGTTTGGGAATACCAGTTTCTGTAAGCTTGGATGTGTGGGTGGTGTAATCGATAACGGCTCGGATTTGGCAGTTGTTCTAGTGTCATTAGACGCATCTCTTAACTAATTTTCTTTTCAGAGTCAATGAACCTTTTTGCTTCCTACTTCTGTGTTGTGGTATCCTCCCTCTAAAGAGTCTATGTTGGACTCTTCCACCTACTATAAAATTAGTAGGAGAGAAGGCCTTGGGGTAACAGTCGAATAGATTGTTCATTACTGTCGAACTCTTGAGAAGAAAGTAACCCGGACGAGGCTTTGCCGAAGAGCAAAGTTTCGTACGGGGAAGTAGACAGACCCTTAACCCGTTTATACGGGTTCTAAGGGAATATTTTTGACCGGGCCTATGGGCTTGGAGAATCCACAGTAAAGTTGGCCTTGTGCCACATACATCCCTCGTGGGAGTGGGGGGCTGTTAAATATTAACAGCCGAATAGATTGTTCTACCGAGGCTATG